TTCCTGCCAGCTCTGAAAGTGACATTTCTGTGATTCCACATCTCTGGTCTCTGGGGAGTTTCCATGCTGCCTTCTCAATGCAGCCTCAGCTCAGACCACTCAATGCGAAGCTGCCTCGCCAGCCCATGGCCCAGTCCCAGCTCTGTCAGGCTGGCTCTTCCCCAGCCAGGTAGAAATCTAGTGCAGGTCCTTGGACTTCTCTGGTCACTCTTAAATAATAACAGTCCAGTCAGTTTGGGTCACAGAAAAGGTGTCATTTTAGTCATTACTCTGCAGTGTACTGTGTAAAAACTACAAACTGATTCCAGGTGGTCCCCCACCCCAAAAGCACAGAGGAGGCACAGAGGAGGAGGGTGTGCCCCTGGAAGGCTGGGTGGGATTCCTGAAGCTCTCACTCACAACCCCTCCTGGGGAGGAGGGCGCTGAGTAGATGAGCTCATGGCAGTCTTCAGGCCTTTCCTTCAAAAGTCCTGAAAGAGTGAAGGGTCTCTCCTGGCACTCTGTGGAGACACTGCTCTAGGGGCCACAGCTGAGACAGAAATTCTTCCCTGCGAACCTTTTGTTCCCTGAATGATGGCCCAGTGTCATGAAGCCCCTGGCTTAGATTTGGAGAAGGAGGAGGAGACAGAGTGGCTCCAAAAGGAAAAGTTCCTCACTGGGCGGAACTTTTGCAGGGCAGCAGACCAGAAGCAAAGCCCTGGGTTTTGTTGGAGGAGGGGAGAGCATTGGCCATTTCACCCCTGGCCTATGTGGGGCTGCACCAATGACCCCACCACATGAAATAAGGGCACAGCCTCTGTGGCTTTGGGAGTGTCTGGAACGGCAGTCTCACTACCTAGTTGGGTCTGCCTTCCTCTTCATGTGAAGACCCTGCAGCTTTCAGAGGTCAGGAGCTCTGGGATAGGGGTGCTGGGCCAAGAAGACATTGTTATGCCCCACCCTGAGTGGCCACCCTCGCCTGCTCCAGTGGGCAGTCCCCTCAGCATAGAAGTGGTGCTCCACCCTGATCGCCTTGGACATCTGTGCCTCCCAGGCTGCTGGGAGGTCAGGCATGGGAATCCAAACTGAGTCATCAGCAACTCAGTAGACTACAGATATAAAAAATAATCAAGCATTTCACACCCATCGGACTAGCAGAAAATTATAAAGTCTGACGCTACCAAGTGATGAGGAACAATGGCGACTTTCATGCGCTGCTGGTGGGACAGGGGAAAGTCCAGGTTTAGCCTGAAGCTTAAACAACTGGGGGAACCATCTTTATAAAAGAATCAAAATTAGGCAGAGTCTTGGAAGGGGCTTGAGTAAGTGGAAGTCTTGAATTTAATGAACATCACCATCTTCCCAGTAAATCTGCTACTGGGGTGTGTAAATCGGAACTACTCTTTTGGATGGCAATGTGATAACATCTGGGAAAATGATGATGTGAATATCCCCTGTCACCCAACAAGTCACATCCTCCATGTGTTTCTGGGAGAAATTTCCAACATGTAACTACAGAGGCAAACATGAGAATGTTCTTGGCAATGCTGTCTGCAGTAGCTAAAGGCAGCAAGTTGGAAGTATACAAAATATCTATTAACAGAAGACTGGATAAACAAAGTCAACATGTATACATCTCAAAACATAATGTTGCCTGGAAAGCATGTTGCAGAAGAATATGTACTGTATGCTGGCATTTCATAAAGTGTGAAAACATGTAAAGCAATGCCATGCGTAGTTCATATGTGTGCAGTTAAAGTCTAAACTGTGCTTGGAAGTGATCACCTCATTCAGCCTACAGGTGGCCCTGAGGATGGAGGGAGAGAGAGAATAAGATAACAGAAGGCTGTTTAAGGGGCTTAGATGCCATCTGAAAGCTTCATTCCCTTAATACATAAAAGCAGATAAAGCAAAATATTAAGATTTGACAAAGTTGGGCAATAATTATGTGGGTGTCTGTTAAAATATTATACATACTCTTCTGTGGCATTTGAAATATTTCTAATTTTTTTTTTCATTTTTTAAACTTGAGGTGAAATTCACATTATCATCAAACCAACCATTTTAAGTTGACAGTTTAGCAGCATTTAGTGCAGTCATGGTGTTGTGCATCCACCAACTCGATTTAATTCCAAAGCATTTTCATTACCCCAAAAGGAAACCCCATAGCAATTAAACAATTGCTCCCCTCAGTCCCTGGCAAATCACCAGGGTTTGTGTTCCATCTCTATGGATTTATCTATTCCAGATATTTAATATAAATGAAATCATACACTATATGACCTTCTGTACCTGGTGTCTTTTGCTCAGCAGAGAGATTTCAAGGTTTATGAACTTTATAGCACGTATCAGTACTTCATTCCTTTCTATGGCCGGATAGTATCCATCATTTGGATATGTCACACTTTGTCACTCAGTTCATTGCTGATGGACATTGGGCTGTGGGTTATCGTGAAGAGTGCTTCTGTGAACATACATGTGCTGGTACTAAAGTCCCTGCTTTGAATCCTTTGGTTATATACCCAGGAGTGGAATTGCTGGGTCAGAGGGCAATTTTTTGAGGGACCATCAGACTCTTTTCCACAGTGGCTGAACCATTTTACATTGCCACCAGCAGCATACAAGTGTTCCAATTTCTCCACATCCTGGCCTATACTTGATGTTTTCCATGTTTTGGATAGTAGCTATCCTAATGGGTGTGAAGTGATATCTCATTGTCATTTCTTTTTATTTATTTACTTATTTATTTATTTTTTTTGAAACCGGGTCTTACTCTATTGCCCAGGCTGGAGTGCAGTGGCATGATCTTGGCTCACTGCAACCTTGCCTCCCAGGTTCAAGCAATGCCCATGCCTCAACCTGCCGAGTAGCTGGGTCTACAAGCATGAGCCACCATGCCTGGCTAATTTATTTTTATTTTTATTCTTTATTTTACTTATTTTATTTTATTTTAAGTAGAGACTGGGTTTTACCATGTTGGTCAAGCTGGTCTCAAACTCCTGACCTCAGATGATCCACCCACCTTGGGCTCCCAAAGTGCTGGGATTATAGGTGTGAGCCACCTCACCCAGTCTCCTTGTGATTTCAGTTTTGTTTTCCTAAAGCCTAATGATGTTAAGCATCTTTTTAGGTGCATATTGGCCATTTGTATATCTTCTTTGTGGAAACCTCTGTTCAAGTTCGTTGTCCATTTTCTAACTTGGTTGTCTTTTAGTTGTTGAGTTGTAATATTCCATTAAAAAAAAACAACAACAAAAAACTATCCTGGGGTGGCCAGTGCCTTCTTAGATCCTTTAATTCTCCACTCCTTCCATACATCAAGTATATACAGCTTCATATTTACGGTCCATGCAGAGGACAACTGAGAGGCTTGGAGTCAGCTTTCTCCTCTTCTCTCCCAGGCATCTGCAAGCCCACCCCTAATCTAATCTAGAGCCTGAGGAAGACACCAGGAGATGACTATGCTTTGAGGGTCTCCTGGGAAGTGAGGAAGGGAGGTGAACAGAGGTGAGGTGGAGAAGTGACTTTCTAAGACAGCTGAGAGAAGCTTTCTGGGCGAGGGAGAAATTGTTTCCTCTTGAAGCCACAAAGCCACGCTGGAGGAGCAAGCTGCCAGTAGTGGATGGCTTCAAGGTTTCTCATAGCATTGGTGGGTTGGGTTGGAATCTTTGGCCCTCTTTCCTGCAGATGAGATCTCCGGGTCTAACTGGACTGTTTCTACTTGCAAGGGCACTCACTCTTTCTTGTATGCTGAACTTCTAAAAGAAGGCCAGAGGGGGTGGGCTCTCTGTAAATGGTGGAGCTGGGTTAATTGGTGTCCAGGGATTTTTCTAAATGTAACTACTTGGATTCTGCCAATCCCTAGGATTTGGAGGCACTGGTTCCACTCAGCTTTGGGTTCAACTCGACTTTCACCCCAATTTCAAGACAGCCCTGCTCACAGAGCTGTGGCCCTCTTAACCCCTGTTCCCAAGCCCTCCTTAGATGAACTGACCTGCTCTCCTTGGTACTCACGCCCTCCGCCTCCAATCAGGCAATAACAACCTGGGGTCCAATTTTTAAAGTCAGGCTCCGACATTTTCTTTCCTACCCAACCATCGAAGCCGATGCTTCTGAGGCAGGGGTGCCGGAAAACGTGTCCCTGAGGCGGCGATGCACCACACCCATATAATATACAAGGCACACCTCTCCCAGTTGAGGGCGAGTGGCCCCCAGAGAGTTCAGGCTGAGGGAGGTCACTTCAGCCTCGCGACACCGTGAGTGCTGACCAGGAGCCCACAGTAGGAAGCGCTTTCCCGCAGTCTCAGGCAGCGACCCTGCGCGCAAGGCGGGACCGACAGCAGGTGCAGAGGCTTCGGGGCTGCCCAAGGTCAGCCGAGGCGCGCGGATCGTTCTCGCCCGCCCATCTCGTCCACCCCCACCCCACACAAGAGGCAGAAGTACTGTGGCCGAGCAAACGACGGCCTCAGTTTCCTCATTTCCAGATCAAATTGGTCGCAAATAAGTGAAACTTTAAAAGGCCAGAAGAAAATAAACCGGATTCAGCTCCCTCTCTTCTCCAAATCTCGGTTGGTAATACTAACATTTCTTTTGATGATTTTTTTTTTTTTTAAACGAAACCTCCTTCCTTGAAAAAGCTGGGCACTTCCACCCAACCGCCCAAAGCGCAGCATGAGCTTCGTTGGCGCTGCGCTTGCCAAGCTGGCCCCTCGCGCAACTTTGGAACCAGGGCACCAAGAACTGTCCCCACCTGGCCCGCTGCCGACATCTGACCCAGGTTGCGAACCCGGTTTTTCCTCCATAGTCCTGTAGACTGTTCCCCTCATTCCGTTGGTCTAGAAGGGGGCAAACGACCAGAGATGGGAGGGGACTTTCCTGGCTTAGTCCCCGCCCTGCCCCTGCTGCCCCGCTGCTCCCAGGACCTGCGCAGCTCGCGGATCCAGCCCGACAGCTGTGCGGGATGCCAGCGAGAGCGCAGAGCTCAGCCCATCCCGCCTTTTCCCCAGCCGCAAGTCACTCACAAACTCAAAGATGAAGAGCAAGTCAGGGAAGGTAGTGAAGACCGAAAAGCCACTGGGCAGGGTGCTGCCCCCCGACGCCGCTGCGGGGGCCATGCCGGCGTGCTGGCGTCGGCCTCGGGACTGGACGCGCGCCGCTCAGGCTCGGCGCAGACCTCTCGCTTGCTCCTCGGAGCCTAGTGGCCTGGGCGCCCCCACGCGCGGGTTAAGAGTAGGGGAGCCCGGGGCAGAAGTGGGAGGAGCTCCGGCCGCCGCCCAGCCCGCCCCTCCGTACCCCGGAGACTCGGCCCGAGCACCGCGGGCACCGCCCTGAACCACTTCGAGGGCGCGCTGCCGGCTGCAGAGCTGAAGACGGTGGCCCTGACTCCTGCGTTCCAGCCCTGGGTACCACCTCTTGCGCGAAGAAGGGCAAAAGCACTTTGGTCAGGCGCTCCTCATGCTTTTCTAGCTTGGTAGGTGACCAGCATCTTCTAAGAATGATAACCATCAGTAACCAAGACCCCAAACCTTCCCACCGAGGCACCCCTCCGGTCACCAGTGCTTTAACTTTGAAGTTGGGTCTCCTTCATCCTTCCGCTGGATGCATTAATATGCGCTACCCGCACATCCAGGAGGTTTCCTGGCCGAATGGGACCGCCGCCTCAGGCTGGGGTCTACCGTGGGGGCTGGGACCGGCCCCGGCCGCCGGCTCCTTCCGCGTCCACCCAGCCAGCGCTGGGATCATGCACTGGGGCCTCTCTACTTGGTGCTGCGCGTCTGCCTGAGGGTTGCTCCCAGCCGCGCCGGCCCCAGCAGAAGGCTGTGGGTGGTGGTGCTGGGGCAGGTCTGCCTTGAATCCATGGGACAGGAAAAGACCTTACCAGAGGAGATGCATCGCTTTCTCCTGTTCTGGGCAGCCCAGCCCTTCTGAGGGTGGGACCGCTGCTACCCTCAGCCCCGTGTTCTTTGCCTGCTTGTTGACTGCCGGCGTTTCATGTTTTGTTTTTCTGTTTCGCTATTTATTAGTTTTTGTATTTTGCCTTTAAGCAAGTATAACCATACAGCAGTTGCCCATTTATTTTAATTTAGTATTAATAGTATGATTGCTGTGTTTTGTCTTACAAACACTGACGCCTAAAATCTGCTCCAGCCCGGATTCTCTCCTGCCAAGAGGGAATTGGCCCCGCAGCCTCCAGCTCAGACTCCTAACTCTCCTTGCTTTCCACTGACAGCTGCTGCAGGCAGGGCAAGGGGCTCCCCTCTTTCCACTGGGGCCCGCACTCTCCCCGCTGCACAATTCTTCCTCCTTCTCAGTCCCTAGGGAGAAAGTACATTCTTGGACCCATTTTCCAAAGCAAAAGTGGCACGCCCATGAGCTGGCCATTCTAACTGCTTCTGTAAAGGGATCAGGCATTTGAAATGAGGAAACCCCACTGTGCCTCTGTGAGCTGCCAGCCTGGATGGCCACAACCAAGGTGCTATTGTGTCAGGTCCCAAGGGCAGCATCCTTCTGGACACAGTGGGCTGTGGGACTGTCAGGAGCCCCCGTCCTCACCCGCCTTGGACATCTCATAGCTCGTTTGTCGGACCTGCTGGCCTCTGAGAGGACATTTTCCTCCCCAGGAGACAATTCTGGAAACAAGCCTTAAATTGAGGTGGTCACAGAAGGCCATTACCTGCTGGGGGTGAGCTGACCCGCAAGCAGTACAGCAAAGCTGCTTGGAGATTTCCTATCAGCACATACTAATTAAGACAGAAAGATCCTATCAGCTCCTAATAATGTCTTTGCCTGGCCTTGAGGGCTTTTGTTTGTGGTTCGGTTTGGGGTTTTGCTGCTTCTTTCAAGCCTTTGTTGCTAACCCTTTCTTACTTAGCCTGAGCCTCTGGGAAAGGGCTAACTCCCTGGGGCACCTCAGTGGAGCTCGGCAGTCCCAGCCCTCCTTTGATAAGGCAGAGGGGCAGCGGTCTCTGAAAGAGGTTTCACAGGACGAGGAAGGCAGCCTAGCCAGGGTCAAGGGGTTTGTCCCTATCTCTGTGACCTCCTCCTCCCACCTGGAGTTCTCCACTAGATGTTCATCTTCCTGACTGGGCTCTACCCTCAGAAGGGCGCCCTCTACCCACCCCCATCTGCCACTCTCCTTCCCTACCCTAGCATATCCTTAGCGCCCAAGCAGGACCCAGTCTCTGGTGAGTGCTCACTAAACCTTAGCCAATGCTGGGTGACTCCAGCCTTATCTGTGCCTGACCACCAGTGGAGGAAGTGTAAGCACCTTGTTTGTTTGGATGTAAAAAGCACTGGTCAGCCGAGAGGCACTGGTGATAGAAAGACATTGGTAAGAGAGAGGTATTGGTGAGAGAGAGCCATTGGTGAGAGAGAGCCATTGGTGAGAGAGAGAAGTATTGGTGAGAGAGAGAGAGGCATTGGTGAGAGAGAGAGAGAGAGGCATTGGTGAGAGAGAGAGAGAGAGAGGCATTGGTGAGAGAGAGAGAGGCATTGGTGAGAGAGAGAGGCAGTGGTGAGAGAGAGAGAGAGAGGCATTGGTGAGAGAGAGAGAGAGAGGTATTGGTGAGAGAGAGAGAGGCAATGGTGAGAGAGAGAGAGAGGTATTGGTGAGAGAGAGAGAGGCATTGGTGAGAGAGAGAGAGAGGCATTGGTGAGAGAGAGAGAGGCATTGGTGAGAGAGAGAGAGGCATTGGTGAGAGAGAGAGAGGCATTGGTGAGAGAGAGAGAGGCATTGGTGAGAGAGAGAGAGAGGCATTGGTGAGAGAGAGAGAGGCATTGGTGAGAGAGAGAGAGAGGTATTGGTGAGAGAGAGAGAGGTATTGGTGAGAGAGACAGAGGCATTGGTGAGAGAGAGAGAGGCATTGGTGAGAGAGAGAGGCATTGGTGAGAGAGAGAGAGAGGCATTGGTGAGAGAGAGAGAGGCATTGGTGAGAGAGAGAGAGGCATTGGTGAGAGAGAGAGAGGCATTGGTGAGAGAGAGGCATTGATGAGATAGAAGTATTGGTGAGGAGAGAGAGAGGCACTGCTAAGACAGTGACATTGGTAAGTAGAGATGGGCCTGTCTTCATTTTCCAGCACAGCTTCTCCAGGTGTTCTGGGCCACCTGCTGATAAATGACGTGGTTTATACTTACCAGAAGCCCAGGACCATATTTTGCTCCAGCAGGACATGAAAAAATAACTTCAGCCAATAAAAACTCAGTGAGCATCCTCAGTCTTCCCAGTGAGTGTGAATGAGAGGGTGGGTCTGGGGCTTCTGTCAAATTAATAGTGTGGCCTAGGGTGGGTTTCCACAAAGTAGGAATTGGAAAGTCACAATTGCAGAGCCAGCCTGGGGAAGGAAGGGGTTACTTCCACCTTGTATTTGTTCAGGGGGGGGGAGGAGATTGTGGGGAGAGGGACATGTTCAGCGAGAGTCACGGGGCAGGCGTTGCTATCTGTAATAGCAGGTACATTGGTTTTTGAGGTAGGTAAGACGACTCTTGTTTTACTGATGAAGTCACAGAGGCTCACAGGTGTTAGGAAGCTGCCCAAGGGCACAGAGCTGCTGAGTACCTTGAACCTGAGTGATGCTGCACCTCTAAAGCTTCAAGCCCTCAATGAAAACCCTGCTCAAGATAGGCAATTGTAAGTCAAATGCCAGCTCCATGCAGACATCAGCAGCCTCCCAAATCCAGTCTTCATAGTCATCTCAGGCGTGGCCCTGGGCACCTGCCCTGGTGGACAGGGCTTGGGACATTCCTCCTCTGGGAACACAAGGAAGTGGGGGTTGTCATCCCCATTTATGGATGGCGAGGCTGGGTGCAGACATGAGTTCAGAGAGCTACCCTGACCGTGCACTTACCCCTAGGGATCTTACCTGTCTCATAGACACAGTCACGCACAGCACTGGGTTCCACAGATGGTGTGAAGCAGTGAGAGCACCTGCTGGTGGATGGTGGAAGGGCAGCCGCAGCTGCCTTGGCCTCAGCGTGGGAGTGGAACCCGTTACTGAGGGCCTGCTAAGTCCCAGCAACGCCACAGGCACTTTGCCTGCATGGCCTCGTTTAATGCCACAGAGCTCTGCTGGCAGCATCATACAGGCTGGGAGTGGGAGGTAATGTGCTCAGGCCACATGGCTGGTGACCAGGCCTCTTAATTCCAGCAGGCAGGCCCTGTGTCTCCTGCACGAAATCCACAGACTGGAAAATCAGAAGTGGTGGATGCTCACCAGGGCACTGTCTTCTGATGGGCATGGGCTTGTATGCCCACTGCCTTCAGGGACAATGATCCGCATGTGCTCTTTCCCCCATCCTCCTGTAGAATCACGTTTTCTAGAACCAGGGAGATGTGGCACTCTGCCACTGTTCAACAGAGTCCTCACGAGATTCTAGCACAAAACAGGCTGGCATTATCTGGGTGTCTTGTGGATGTGGATGGAGGGTAGAGGGTGTGTGAGTAGGAAAGTCAGAGTCCCTGCTCTTTACAAGGGCACTGATACCATTCACAAGGTCTCCACCTTTACGATCTAATCACCTCCCAAAGGCCTCAGCCCTGATACCATCATCTTGGGGGTTAGGATTTCAACATAGGAATTTGGGGAGGGGACACAGACATTCAGATCATAGCAGGTGGCACATGGACCAATTGTTCAAGAACAAAGTTAGGGTGGGGGCAGGCTGCACAGTGCGGCCCTATTTCTGAGCACCTCTTGGATGGCACCTCTGTGCTCACCCTGAAGATGTAACAGTAAACTCAATAGATTCTCCTGCCACCAGCCCAAGTTCGGTAAGCCCTGGGTGATGGGGACACCATGGAGGAGGGAATCCTGCTTCTTTGAATCTTATCACGAGGCGTGGGAGGCAGACTTCAATCAAGCACAGCACACTGCAGGGAGCCCAGATACACCATCAGCCCAGGCTGACCTATAAGGAAGCTTGTGGGAGGAAGCGTCCTTTGGTCTGGTGGGCAGCAGTTGCCAGGTGAAGGGAGAGAGCCTTCTTGACACGGGAACAGCACACATGAGGCCCCTTGTTGTCTCCTGGAGGAGGGTCTGGCACCGCATCACATGCTGTGGGCCTCCAGTGGACACAGAGCAACAGTAACAGTCTGAGGAAGGCGATAGAGCCGGGAGGAGACAGAAGCCACAGGCGTCCAGGGCAGAAGGAACAGGCATGGGGGCAGGTTCTGGAAGGGGAGGAGGACAGAACTAGTGCTACAGGGGAGCTCGAGGAAGGCCTGTGAAACTGCATGGAATGTGGATGTGCAGGAAGAGGGAGGATGGGTGCCAGGCCAAGTGGACAGTGCAGATGAGTCCTGGGGCCAGGGAGACCTGTGACGTGTGAGAAGGTGACTCCTGCACAAATCTAGAAAGGCCAGGCACAGGCTGGGCTCAGGCAAAATGCAGAGGGTGTGCTGTACACCCTGAATTTAGTCAATTCCCTCTGTTCAACCCCAAAAGTAAGATCCCTCTTCTTCCCTGTTTGGAACCCATCTTCTCTGCCCCGGAGAGGGACTGGACCCTGCACCTCCACATGAGAGCTCACAACCTGCCCAGCAAGTTGCACCAGGAATTTGGCCAAACTTGTCCGAAACATCAGACCCACAGGGCTGGGCCAGTGGGTCTTTGGAATGCAGTCTCAGCATGTTTGGGGCTAGGCTGGTTTGCTCCAGTGCAAAGCATCTTCTTTCAGGTTTCACTTACGACACCCCTCAGAT